TAGGATTTACGGTGAATGGGGGGGGGGGGGGGTATAGGCATACACATTTTTGACCCACCTTCAATTCAATCAATAGGCATAAAGTAGGATAACATAGTTTTCACTAAACTGTCGCATTCAATTTTAGCAATGTTTTCATGCATTAAAGTGATTGCGATCGATTGCGTTCGCAAGTGCACGCATATGCGCGCGATCAACTGTGATGTGAATATATTTCACTTTAAAAGTCCCCCCAAAAGACCCGCCGCAACTCTAAATAAATTTTTGAAAAAATATATTTTTTCGCCACCGATTAGTTTTTACTTTGAGATTCCCGCCGCAACTTAAATCATCTTTTAAAAAATAGAAAATATTGCGTCATAAAAGATAACAAGTCCGCCAATTTGATTTTGGTTTAGAGAGTTCGAAAAGGATCCACCTTCAATTTAATCAACTAGCCTAAAGAAAGATAACATAGTTTTCACTAAACTGTCGCATTCAATTTTAGCAATGTTTTCATGCATTAAAGTGATTGCGATCGATTGCGTTCGCAAGTGCACGCATATGCACGCGATCAACTTACTGTGACGTGAATATATATATATTCTACTTTAAAAGTCCCCCCAAAAGACCCGCCGCAACTTAAATCATTTTTTGAAAAAGAGACAAATATTGCGTCATAAAAGATAATAAGTCCGCCCATTCGATTTTGGTTTAGAGAGTTCGAAAAGGATCCACCTTCAATTTAATACAAAATAGGGCATGGGTGTCGATCCCGGGGGGGGGGGGGTGGGGGTGGGGGGATACATCCCCCCCCCCCCCCAATATTTCAGGTGGGGGTGGCCTGTACATTACCATCAAAAAAAAAATAAAGAGAAAAATTAATGAGAGCCCGATGAGAGTAGTTAACGGTTATTACTCGCAAGATGACCATCAATATACACATTTTGCTATCTCATTTTCATGATACATACGCAAATGAGACAACCGTATTTGAGACAAGAATAAATTGAATTCTCGCTCATACGGCTTCATCAGGAATTGATGAATTTATTCAATTTATTCAATCTAAAAGCTAAATGTTAAGCGCGAAGCGCAAAAGTGCAAAAAAAGAAGTAGAGAGTAGGAATAAGAAACAGAGAGGATACAGGCGCGTAGCCATGGGGGTGTGTGGCGGTGGGGGCGGTCGCCCGCCCCCCCCCCCCAAAAAAAAAGAGAGAGAGAGAGAGAGAGAGAGAGAGAAAGAAGAAAGGAAGAGGACGTAAGAAGAAAAAGGATTAAGAGTCGAGAACGGTACAACGAATCGTCTTCTTTCTCTAATAATTTAATGAAACGTCAAAGCTTCCGCGTTTCGCGCGGGAACGGGGGGGGGGGAGGAACTGAATTAAGACATGGAGTAAGGGTCGAGAATGGTACAACGAAACGTCTTCTTTCTTTAATAATTGAATGAAACGTCAGAGTTTCCGTGCTATGCGCGGAGGAATTGGAACTTGATTCATACAAGGATTAAGAGTCGAAAACGGTACAACGAATCGCCTTCTTTATTGAACGAAACATCAAAGCTTCCGCGCTTTGTGCGGGAAGGGGGGGGGGGGGACTAAATTCAGTCAAGGATTAAGAGTCGAGAATGGTACAACGAATCGTCTTCTTTCCTTAATAATTTAATGAAACGTCAACAGAAACTGAATTTAGACAAGGATAAAGATTCGAGAACGGTACAACGAATCGTCTTCTTTCTCTAATAATTTAATGAAACGCAAAAGCTTCCACGCTTCGCGCGGGAAGGGGGGGGGGAGAACTGAATTCAATCAAGGATAAAGAGTCGAGAATGGTACAACGAAACGTTTTCTTTCTTTAATAATTTAATGAAACGTCAGAGTTTCCACGCTATGCACGGAGGTATTGGAACTTGATTCAAACAAGGATTAAGAGTCGAGAATGGTACAACGAATCGCCTTCTTTCTCTAATAATGTAATGAAACGACAAAGCTTCCGCGCTTCACGCGGGATGGGGGGGGGGGGGAGGGGAACTGAATTCAGTTAAGAATTAACAGTCCAGAATGGTACAACGAAACGTCTTATTTCTTTAATAATTTAATGAAACGCCAAAGTAAACTGAATTTAGACAAGGATTGAGAGTAGAAAACTGTACAACGAATCGCCTTCTTTCTCTTATAATTTAATGAAACGTCAAAGCTTCCGCGCTTTGCGCAGGAAGGGGGGGGGAGGAGAGGAAGAAACTGAATTCAGTCAAGGATAAAGAATCCAGAATGATACAACGAAACGTCTTCTTTCTTTAATAATTTAATGAAACGCCAAAGTAAACTGAATTTAGACAAGGATTAAGAGTCGAAAACTGTACAACGAATCACCTTCTTTCTCTTATAATTTAATGAAACGTCAAAGCTTCCGCGCTTCGCGCAAGAAGGGGGGGGAGGAAGAAACTGAATTCAGTCAAAGATAAAGAATCCAGAATGGTACAACGAAACGTCTTCTTTCTTTCATAAATTAATGAAACGTCGGAGTTTCCGCGCTATGCGCGGAGGAATTGGAACTTGATTCAAACAAGGATTAAGAGTCGAAAACGGTACAACGAATCGCATTCTTTCTCTTATAATTTAATGAAATATCAAAGCTTCCGCGCTTTGCGCGGGAAGGGGGGGGGGGTGGGGGAACTGAATTCAGACAAGGATTAAGAGTCGAGAATGGTACAACGAATCGTCTTCTTTCTTTAATAATTTAATGAAACGTCAAAAGAAATTGAATCTAGACAAGGATTAAGAGTCGAGAATGGTACAACGAATCGTCTTCTTTCTTTAATAATTTAATGAAACGTCAAAAGAAATTGAATCTAGACAAGGATTAAGAGTCGAGAATGGTACAACGAATCGTCTTCTTTCTTTAATGAAACGTCCGAGCTTCCGCGCTACGCGGTAAGATACAGATCCGCTACTAGTATTTCATGTGAATGGGGGGTATAGAAATACAATTTTTTGACCCACCTTCAATTCAATCAATAGGCATAAAGTAGGATAACATAGTTTTTACTTAACTGTCGCATTCAATTTTAGCAATGTTTTCATGCATTAAAGTGATTACGATCAATTGCGTTCGCAAGTGCACGCATATGCGCGCGATCAACTGTGATGTGAATATATTTCACTTTAAAAGTCCCCCCAAAAGACCCGCCGCAACTTAAATCATTTTTTGAAAAAGAGAAAATATTGCGTCATATAAGATATTAAGTCCGCCAATTTGATTTTGGTTTAGAGAGTTTGAAAAGGATCCACCTTCAATTTAATCAACATGCCTAAAGAAAGATAACATAGTTTTCACTAAACTGTCGCATTCAATTTTAGCAATGTTTTCATGCATTAAAGTGATTGCGATCGATTGTGTTCGGAAGTGCGCGCAGTCAACTGTGAGGTGAATATATTTCACTTTAAAAATTAAAAGACCTGCCGCAACTTAAATCATTTTTTGAAAAAGAGATAGCGTCTAATATATTTTTTCTCCGCCGATTAGTTATCACTTTGAGGTTCCCCCGCAACTTAAATCGTCTTTTGAAAAATAGATAAATATTGCGTTTTATAAGATAGCAAGTCTACCGATTAATTTGGTTTAGCGAATTCAAAAAGGATCCACTTACAATTTAATCAATATGCCTAAAGAAAGATAACATAGATTTCACTAAACTGTCGCATTCAATTTTAGCAATGTTTTCCATGCATTAAAGTTAGTGATTGCGATCGATTGCGATCGCAAGTGCACGCATATGCGCGCGATCAACTGCCACGTGAATAGTTTTCACTTTAAAATTCCCCAAAAGACCCACCGCAACTTGAATCTTTTTTCCAAAAAATAAGAGACAAAAAAATGCGGCATAAAAGATAACAAGTCAGCCGATTCGATTTTGGTTTAGAGAGTTCGAAAAGGTTCCGCCTTCAATTTAATAAAAAATAGAGTGATATTGTCTAACATATTTTTTCGTAACCGACTAGTTTTCACTTTCATATTCCCGCCGCAACTTAAATCATCTTATGAAAAATAGAAAGGTATTGCGTCTGATAAGATAACAAGTCCACCAATTTAATTGTGGTTTCAGAGAGAGTTCGAAAAGGATCCACCTTCAATTTAATCAACTAGCCTAAAGAAAGATAACCTAGTATTCACTTAAGTGCCGCATTCAATTTAGCAATTCCATGCATTAAAGTGATTGCTATCGCAAGTGCACGCATATGCGCGCGATCAACTGTCACGTGAATAGTTTTCACTTTAAAATTCCCCCAAAAGACCCGCCGCAACTTTGAATCGTTTTTTGGAAAAAGAGGCAAATATTGCGTCATAAAAGAAAATAAGTTCGCCGATTTCATTTTGGTTTAGATATTTTGAAAAGGATCGCCTTCAATTTAATAAAAATAGAAAGATAACGTCTATTACATTTTGTCCGCCGATTAGTTTCCCGCCGAAACTTAAATCGTCTTTTGAAAAATAGTATTGCGTCTGATAAGATTTTAATTTTGGTTTAGCGAATTAAAAAAGGAACCGCCTTAAATTCAATCGAAATTGAAAGATAACGTCTAATATATTTTTTCACCGCCGATTAGTTATCACTTTGAGGTTCCCGCCGCAACTTAAATCGTCTTTTGAAAAAATAGATAAATATTGCGTCTCATTAGATAACAAGTCTACCGATTAAATTTTGGTTTAGCGAATTCAAAAGTCATCCGCCTTCAATTTAGTCAAAAAATGAACGTCTAATATATTTTTTCCCCGCCGATTAGATTTCACTTTGAGATTCCCGCCGCAACATTATGCGTAAGTAGCAACAATAACTGACAAAAATAAAAAAGCAAACTATCGCCAACAGAGGGCGACATTTCATACGGAAAGACTGCATTACATTTTAGCAATGTTTTCCACGCACAAAGCTGATCGCGATCAATCGCGTTCGCGCGCAAGTGCACGCGTATGCGCGCGATCCACTGTGACGTTGATCGCAGGCGGAACTGTATATCTCTTTCACACATGTTATCATCAATAAGAGTCTGAAGAAGAATTTAGTATCCTTTTTTTAATATAAATCTTTAAAAAAGAAGAATTTAGTATCTTACCATGTCTCTGCTGGTTGCGTAACCGGAAGGCCTCGGTAGGGGATCTCAGATCCCAGCCCACGAGATAGCCCTGCGATGTAGCATAGACCAGGATTGATTGTGGACCTGTATCAAAGTGGGCCAGGTCTACTGGTACACCCTCCTCGCTTACATTCAGCTGTCGTTTGTCCAGAGGAGCTAGTCTAGGTGGACTCGCTTCTATTCTGTAAGACAAAATGTAAGGCAAAAATACATTAGGTTGCAGAAATCGTATCATATGAATGCAAAGATATATGTGCATCCAAACATAAATTGATGCAAATTGAAGAAAATAATTTGAATGAGTGCCCATGTAAATGAACAAACTCAATCCCCCCCCCCCCTCCATAAACAAGATGTCAGTGCAAGTTGTGAGAATATATTGTTCCTATAACCAATAATTAACAGATAAATGTTTATCAATGGTAAACTGAAGTAAGTAATACTGGAAAATGTTTTATTATAATACTGTGAAGATAAATGTAAGAATAATAATCATCGGTCAAAATAGTTACAGGTCCAATACTGAACAATGGTTCATGACAGTTTATTTCATTAGTGTTTCTAAAAATAGCTTGTATATCAAGATCAATATCATTTAAATACCTTTCAAAAGCAAAACATCATGTCATGACAAGGGTCAATATTGAATACGGTACCCTTTTTTCCTCCACAACATCACAATATTTGTATATCATCAAACTATCGTCCAGAAATAACAGAGTTACAAAGAAGACAATGTTAAATTGGAGCAATACAAACAACATCTACAAATCCAGAAGCAGTGATTACCTATTGACGTGTATGGAGCCGTCATCTGACCCGGAAGCGATACTGTGCGACGACTGACAGAAGGTCAACGTCTTGATCTTGCCTGGTTGTCTGTTGTACGTCTGTCTTGACTTGTTAGTGTTGGCCTTGCCGATGAGCTTCGTGCAGTCCCATACCTTCACCGTGCCGTCGTCAGAACACGTCGAGAAGAGTGTGTGATCGTAGCTGACTTGTAATCTGGAACATAAACCAGTTACATGCACATAGTTTAATTTGTCACTTTCTTTTTCCACTTCCTTTTAAGAATGTCATCCATTTTATTACTAGCTCATGATAGATAGATAGATAAGCAGATCAACACAAAGATAGATAGACAGACAGATACAGAGACAAACAAACAGACAGATGGAGGGATAGATAGATAGATAGACACAAAGATAGATAGACAGACAGATACAGAGACAAACAAACAGACAGATGGAGGGATAGATAGATAGATAGACATAAAGATAGATAGACAGACAGATACAGAGACAAACACACAGACAGATGGAGGGATATATAGATAGATTGACAGACAGACAGACAGATACAGAGACGAACAAACAGACTGATACATGGATAGATATATAGATAGATTGACAGACAGACAGACAGATACAGAGACGAACAAACAGACTGATATATGGATATATAGACAGACAGACAGACAGATACAATGACGAACAAACAGACTGATATATGGATAGATATATAGATAGATTGACAGACAGTCAGACAGATACAGAGACGAACAAACAGACTGATATATGGATATATAGACAGACAGACAGACAGATACAATGACGAACAAACAGACTGATATATGGATAGATAGACAGACAGACAGACAGACAGATAGACAGATAAATAGATAGATAGATAGTTCTTTCGTCCACAGTGGAAGTTCAAACCATGATTTATAAAAATGCTTTACACGTATACCTTCATCATGAATTTGGGCTGATGTGGTCAGTTTATCAATCTCGAACACATTTTATCTAGCTAATCTAATTCAATATTATAGTCCCTATACTATAAGTAATGCATAGTGACACATTCTATTTTAGTTAATATTGAACTATATCAATGAACATGTACATTAGCTTGTTTCAACTTGTTGTATTTTACTGTGAAAATGACAATGTTTATAGTCTTCTGAATTTTGTATTTTTGTTAATGATAAAACCAACAATCAATTGAAATTGAATTGAAAATAGTTTTTGCTTTATCTCATTACAATACCATTAAATAAAATATTTCTCCCCAATAATTTTTTCTATTAAAGACCCTCTGCACTAGTTTGGCATAGAGGGATTAGACCACACAGCATGGTCAATGACATTGAGGTGGCTATCTCATCTACTCAGCTCTCACTTAACATAAGAAAAAGAGGATGGGGGACCAATAGTCACTGATTATGCACTGTTTGTTATATAGAGGGCGCAAGTAGCTACAAGTAATACAGTGGGGCTTTAAATCTTACCTATTGACAGCACCTTTGTGTTCATGAAGATGAGCTATCAACAGTCCTCTTGGTTTCCAATTCGACTGCGGAGCCTTCGCATTGAAGGTGGTGTCGTGGATGAGCATCTTCCGCATGATGTCCATGGCATACTGATCTCGCTTCCGAGTGACGAGGCTTCGTAGGTTCAGATGACAAGAAGAGACTTGGACTGAATGATAATTTGAAATGAATGATAATTTGAATATTCATGATCTTGGACTGAATGATAATTTGAATATTCATGATCTTGGACTGAATGATAGTTTGAATATTCATGATCTTGGACTGAATGATAATTTGATTATTCATGATCTTGGACTGAATGATAATTTGAATATTCATGATCTTGGACTGAATGATAATTTGAATATTCATGATCTTGGACTGAATGATAATTTAAATATTCATGATCTTGGACTGAATGATAATTTGAATATTCATGATCTTGGACTGAATGATAATTTGATTATTCATGACCTTGGACAGAATGATAATTTGAATATTCATGATCTTGGACTGAATGATAATTTGATTATTCATGATCTTGGACTGAATTATAATTTGAATATTCATGATCAAGAGTCAGGAAATACTTTCTATTTCTCTTTGATATATCATATGACCAGAGATTGTTGGTGGAAGCAAGGACACACAGTTTCTAACTTACAACATGGATGTGCCTCACAAAATTCATATGAATATTATGGGGATGTAAACACATTGTGCAACACATAAACACAACTGCAACTAATGCAAGGGATATGATGAAAACATTGATTCCTCTTGAATTTTCTACTTCTGAGTTGATATTCCAATTGGGAAAGTCAAATATGTAACTCTTACAGCCACTATTAGGGATTGCAAGCCCTCAAAAATGTATCTATCGATATTGATATCAGTATCGGGCTCTTAATTTCATCAGCAAATTTTTAGCACGATTTACGACGTCTTGACTGCTCTAAACACAAACAATGACAATAACACCCAACTTGAAATCACTCATTGTGTGATGCTACTGGCTTAGGCTCCTGAACAGGCTTTTGAATGATTTTTAAACCAAATGTATGTTTCTGAAATGTGAATATCGAAATGTAAGGTAATGTACTCACTGTGTGATGCTACTGGTTTAGACTCCTGAACAGGCTTTTTGACGGGTATTCCCTCGGCTGCGGCTTGGAGCTGTGACATACGGATCGGTTCGTTGGCCATGAGACCCTTGTTTATCTGTCCCTTGCCCCCTCCCTGTGCTGCATCCGTCTGAGTTGGGGATACCTGAAGCAAACGTCACGGTTCAATAATAATAATAATAGTTTGTTCTTTTATAGTGCATTTCAGGACCGCAGACCCTCTCAAAGGGTTTTACAGATATATTATTACCCAGGTCATCGGATTCAGGCTTACCCGCACACAATGTATGCACATTCTCCACTCCCTGGGAAGGATTCCGGCCAGTCGCCATTTCACAAGCGCACACTTGCTCATTCAACTATCACTTGGGTGGTGAGTGGCAAATGTGGATTAACGTCTTGCTAAAGGACATTAGTGCTGTGGCGGGACTTGAACCCCGTATCCTGTGAGCTGGGGTCGGGTGACTTATCCACTAGACCACAACACCAATGCGGAGATGTCATGGTTTAGTGGTTCATTCAATTGGCTATCACCGGAGTGTTGGCTCAGTCAGTAGAGCGTCCGCCTCACAACCGGGAGGTCGTGGGTTCGAACCCCAGCCGCGTCATACCAAAAGACGTTAAAAGATGGGAGTTGTTGCTACCTTGTTTGGCGTTCAACAATAAGGGATAGACCAACGTCGGTCTGGCGCTGCTCAGTGGCTGCCGGGCTCACGATCAATTGGGCAAAAAGAATTTCCGTTTCGGTTTAATAAAATTTGGAGTGGACTATTAGATTATTATATTATTATTATATTATCTATGAAGGGGTCGAGGGTTCAAATCCAAGCCCGGCAATAACGTCCTTTGGCAAGACATCAATCCATGTTTGCCACTCTCCATCCAGGTGTGAATGGGTACCTGATATATGCTAGCGAGTTAAATATTTGGCCGCTTGGCTAAGACCAGAGTTATAATGTTAGAGCACCAACGGTTACACAGTGTGATGGACAGAAACTTAGGCCAATTTACTCCTTATTTTAGGTACGATCCCATTCTACCATAATGTACTGTATTAGCTATCTACAGGTATGATGAAAATCTGTCAAAGTTTGAAGAAACAGAGCAAGCAGAAGGTAATGTAGCCTAAATAAATGATTCAATGATAGGGTTAAAAAGATCTATTTCACAATCTACTTTAGCACCCAAAATCATTTTTTTAACCAGGCCCTATTGCATACAACTTGGCGCTAATGGTAACTTTGCCATCGACACCCAACAGCCAATCAAATCAAGGTTTCCATAAAAGTTACACTTAACGGGTTGTATGCAATAGGGCCTGGTTAAAAAAACTGATTTTGGGTGCTAAAGTAGATTGTGAAATAGATCTTTTTAACTCTATTATTGAATCATTTATTTAGGCTACATTACCTTCTGCTTATCAATTCTGCTTTATCAATTAGATATCAAGGTCCTCACAAATGGAACCACAACGCATTTAAACTTAAACTGAAAAGAACAATACTTGCCACTTATTGATATATTGAAATACATAATTGATTCATATATTTTGTTAGCATGTAACATTATTATTATTGTATTGTATTGTATTGTATCGTTTTTCATCGTATTGTATTGTATAGTATCTGTATGTTTTTATGTTTGGGGTTGCTTGTTTACAAGTTTTTAACTTATTTTAGCAATCCCGGTATTTATGATGATTTCATTTGTAATGATTTCATTTTGATGTTTTTATCTTTTGCCGAATAAATGTGAATTTGATGATGATGAACGGCAAAGTAGCATCAATCCTAAGTTTCATGCAACAGAGCCCAATCAATGCAGAGCCCTATCGATGCATATCGATGTAATATCTCTAGTTTCTTAAAATGGTGTTTAACAGGTTCTTAGAAAGACAACAGAAAACACAAGGAGATAATGTTTTAAAGAAAAATGCAGGACAGAGAGAAAGAGTACCTGCTTGCCACTTCCTTGCTGTTGCTTTGTCGGACTCTGCCTCTGAGTCGCTGCCTTTGCGTCCACCCCTTGTTGCGCCTGTTGCTGAGCTGTTTGCTGCTGTTGCTTGAGTTGCCCTTGAGCCTGGGGCTGTACCTGGATGGAGGAGGGGGGTGTCTGATCCTGGCCTCCGGGGGGTTTCTGCGGGGCGGCCTTGGAGGCGGAGCGCTGGACGGGGGCGTGAGGGGGAGGCAGGTCACCCCCTGAGGGGTGGAGGGGTGGGGTGTTGATGGATGTTTGCTGTTGGGAGGCCTTGATTGGTTTTGTGTCGGCGGCTGTACCAAACATACTCCTCCATTCCTCGTTCTGCGACAAATTTTGTTGAAATGAAAGGATGAGAAGATGGAATATGCAAAACAGTGTTGACAATGATCAGAAATAGATAGTGTATTAATATAAGCTTGTAAGGGTACTAGAATTAATCAATGGAGATCATAATTGAACCTGCAGATATGCGGTTCTCAAGAAGAATACCTAGAGAATCACAGACTGACAGATTCATCAGATTGCGGGACCTCTTTCACAAAGCCTTATATCAATTACAAATGACAAAAATTAGTGAAAACTCTGCTGATGACCAATCAAAAGCAAGGATTTCACTTATAACAAAAAAACTGTCATTTGTCACTGATGAGCAGTTTTGTGAAATGGGCCCCAGGGTGTGCTTGATAATGCATATAGCGGTAGATCCCTTTTAAGATCAAACAGAAAAGACATATCCAGTTTATATGACATACACTTAGCGGAGCATACACGGAAAATAGGATTTTAAATGAAAATTTAAAGTTAAAGAAAAGCAGAAGGAGACAGCATATCAAATATGAGGATCTATTCACTAGGTGGACTTGCAATGGTCATTTACAATGGTGGCATCTCTCATTGCCACTATTGTAAATGATTTTTATTTTCAACATGGAGTGTAAATAAATGAATCCTCAAATAATATGCCATTCCTTCATAGCGCATATCTCATTATGATTTATAAGATGATGACGTGGATCCTAATCAAATGATTGGTTGAAAGCGTACATGTGACCAGACATTTATTTTGCCTAACACATAGTTATCAAATGCTAATGACCGGTCATCAGTAAAATCATGTTGTAAAACATCATTTTATAAAAACAAATAAAACATAATCTTATAAAACAAATAATACACATCATTTTGTTCGAGCATTAGTAAAATTACTCACACTCGGTACCTTCAAAACCGTCCAAACATCCTCGGCTATAGCCTCAAACGTGTTACCTTGTGTAGGTAGTTCTTACTAATGTCTTCACTGTTGTGTATTATTTGTATAATAATGCTTTTATGCGCTAGCAATTTTCACTCTTACCATTGCCGGATCTATTGCACTCTGCTTCTTCTTGGACTTCTTGGTTTGAGCCTTGTCTGTGACCTCTGACCTGAGGTCAGGTGGCTTGATGAGGTCAGCGTGATTCTTCTGAATGGCTGGATAGACGCTGAGGTTGACCTGACCTGGGGTGAAGGGGTCGTGGGGTGACGATGATTGGTTCGATAGATCGCCCATCCTAAGAGAAATACATATACCATAGTAAGAAGGGTTGGATAGAGAGGAGGCGTGGTCTGAGAAAGAGCACAAAGCAACAAAACAAAAAAGCAAAGCAAGGCAACACACTACAGCAATGCAACAAAAAACAATGCAATGCTTTGTAATACCATGCAATGCAATCAAATTAATCTCCACCCAACTCAATTATATTATTTAATGAGTCTATGCATAATATCTCTATCATTTTCCATGAATGGTTGTACATGCATTATGGGTACAATCACGAAAGATAAACAAATATAAGTCACTTAGATGGAGGTCATGTGTAACAATGCTAGCATTTTCATCCATACAACAACTACTCAAATAACGACATTGGATTCTTTAATAATTGACTGCTTTCGTATTTGAACTGCTGAAATTCATTTGAGGTGGCCGAAATGAAAGTTAATGATTAGAGTTTCCTTTGGATGGCCTTTATAAACAGTTTTGACTGCATAGACTTTAAAGCCCCACTGCACTACTTATAGCTGCTTGCTCCCTCTATATAGCAAACAGGTTGGTCCCCCATGATCCTCTTTTTCTTCTGTTAATTGAGAGCTGATTTGATGAGGTAACCACCTATTAGTGACCTTGCATGGAGGTCTAATCCCCCTGGCCAAACTAGTACAGATGGGCTTTAATTTACTTACCCAATCTTAGCCTTAGACTGCTTCAACATGATCTCTCTCAGAAAGAGGAGCTTATCTTCGTCTTCTTCAGTCATCCCCTGTGACTGCAGTTTCCTCAGAAGCTGGAGGTGAAAAATTGCAAATTATAGAGACGGGATCTTTCATATTCAACTTTTACTTCATTATGATCTAGGAAAGTTAAAAAACACCAATGCCATTTCAAAATAACATCATAGAGCAGCATATTGAAAATGGAAAAAAAAGTCTAGTCTCTTCATGTAAACCTGCACACTGATCAAATCAAATTGAAATTTATCATTCCTTCTTACAAATGTTTACTGTTTAATGATAAAAAGTAATACAGCAAACACTGCAATGAAAAAGGGAACCTGGCAAAGATCAGAAGGGCATGACCTTGTATTCTTTTAAATACAGTTATTGCCCTTCTAGTTCTCAGTTAATATTTGTCAAATTTTTCTTCCTCACATTATCACATTAGACAGGAAAGACGTTCCACAAACAAAAAATACCATGGATTTCAAACATTTTTAGAACAAACACCTTCACACAAATACAGTAAAACCTGTCTATAGTGACCGCCCAAGGGAAACACAAAAAGTGGTCTTTAAAGGAAGGTTCCTTCAGTGCATGTTTCAATGAGAAGCCATTTTTCAAGGGAAACAAAATATGTGGTCTTTGTGGACAGGTGGTCTTTGTAGACAGGTTCCTTTAGCACATGTTTCAATGAGAAACCATTTTCAAGGGGAAAAAAAATTGTGGTCTTTGTAGACAGGTGGTCGCTAAAGCAGGTTTGACTGTACTTCATACCTGCGCCATTTGTCCAATCTCTAGTTCGTTGTACTCTGGTTTATGACCCGGTCTAACACACAGGTTACGTATCAGCTGCCGGTCCGTCAGGTTGTCGAAGAAGTCGATGATGATCGGGGAGCGGAGGATGTAGTCGTAGACGGCTCGAGATACAGGGCACTTCAGCACGCTCATGATGATAGCCTGCACAATAAAAAGAAAAGATGGGAAACATTATTGGCAGAAAATACCCTTTCGCAGACATTTGATTAGATACAAAACATTTTTTCACTTTCAATGCAAATCCATGTCCAAAAAATACAAATAATGTCAACTGTAAAATTTTAAACAGAGACAATAATGTAACAGATTAAAGAAACAAAGCTCTCTTTCAACCTGTATGGTCAGTTTCTAAGAGAATGATAGTAGGAGTGGTGTAAACTAATATAATGCACATCTTTAAAAAGAAAATATAACTGTCAATTTTAAAACATTTTTTACACATAATACTGTATCACAGATATATGAATACAAACCTCTTTATCAATCTGTATGATGGGTTTTTTAAGGAATGGTAGTAGGAGCGGTGTCAGGTTGCAGTGCACATCAGCAATATTGAGAGATCTTGCGATGGCGGCTATGAAACCAACCGTAGCTTGACGAATCCACAGATTCTACCATAAAGAAGAAATATTACAATTTGAGCTGTAGCAGCAGAAGAATATCAATTCAATTCAATTTTTCAATTTTATTTATTTCTACAGATTCATAAAAAGACAATATAAATTACAATCAAATATAAAGGCCTTTAATAAAAGATTAACCTGCAGGGGGGATCAAAAACCACAGAGGTTTTTCTAGGATCATCCCCTGCTTAAAACTACAATATTAAAATACAATAACAACTAAGTAGATCATTTAATAATAATAATTATAACCTATGATTCTATAGCGCATTTCATCGTTGGAGAAGTTAACAATGTGCTTTACAATAACAAAACAACAAAATTGCAGATAACTACTAATTCACTTACTAAAGAAATATCAAAATATGAACA